CCTCTGTGCAAATGTGGTCCCTGTGCTGAATCAAGGATTAAACTCCTAGTTCTCGTTGGCGCAGGTGGGGATTCTGCCAAACGGTGTGTTCTAAAGACCGGTCCCTTGCACCCAGGACGGGCTCCTTTGCCAACCTGGTGCCCTCTAGATGTTTTGGACTACAACACCCAGTCCTGGCTTGGGCTCATGGGAGTTGTAGTCCAAACCATCTGGAGGGCACCAGGTTGGCAAAGGTGCCCGCCCTAGGTGCCAGGCATGAAGATACTCCAAGGAAGACGATTTGCCCAGAAAACAGCGTCCCAAGCTACCACAAATCCGACTGCCGAATGGAGGTCCTTTGGCCTTCATTGTGTTTGACTACTCCGTGCTGGGCCTCATTATCTGACTGTCCGAGAGACGTCCTGACTCCTGTTCTTTTTCGTGCAAACAGAGAGGTATCATTCAAATTCGGTGCTGGGAAATCGCAAACTGCTGCCTTCCAAACAAAGGCTGTTAATCAGTAACACTGATTCTTTTTTTAAGTGTTTGTCTCAGCATCCATTTCCTAGGTTTGAAAGATCTTTTCTGATCTTGACTTGCATTTGTTTGAATTTTTGAAGTTGGGATGTCCTGGGAAGAAGCACCAATGTTCTAGATGGAGAAGACTCGAGCAAATGGACCGATAGCTTCGGTTATTAAATTCATGGGGAACAAATTCAGAGGTCTACCAATACCTATTAGCTATGAAAGTTCAAGACTTATTACACTGACTGCTTAAAGGCATTTTTGAATTATTATTAAGTTGTTGAAAACTCTTGTTAATGTATTAAGGAAACTCCATGTGCAGAAGCAGTCTACCACTGGGAATAGAGTGCTGCAGGCAAACAAAAGGGGAAGGCTGTTGCCTTCATTTCCCTGCTTGTAAAGGTAAAGAAAAAGGGACCTCTGACAATTAAGTCCAGTTGTGAACGACTCTGAGGTTGCGGTGCTCATCTCGCTTTATTGGCCGAGGGAGCCGGCGTACAGCTTCCGGGTCATGTGGCCAGCATGACTAAGCCGCTTCTGGCAAACCAGAGCAGCGCACGAAAACACCGTTTACCTTCCCGCCGGAGCGGTACCTATTTATCTACTTGCACTTTGACGTGCTTTCGAACTGCTAGGTCGGCAGGAGCAGGGACCGAGCAACGGGAGCTCATCCCGTCGCGGGGATTCGAACCGCCGACCTTCTGATCAGCAAGTCCTAGGCTCTGTGGTTTAACCCACAGCGCCACCCGCGTCCCTTCCCTGCTTGTATCCTTCCCTAAATACTTGGGAGTAGGGGTTAAGTCAGATCCCCTGAGTCCTCACAATGCATTCATTGAGCATTTGCCCTGCTTTGCTTGTAGGGAGGTTAGATGACGCTGTGTCTAAGCCAGTATTATCCTGCACTTTCCAATGTATCATTTTTCCTCGCTGCTAAAAAGCCTGATCCTCTAGGGGAATCGGGTTTGTTGTGCAAGCGCTCCAAACCAACCACAATTGCGCAAACCTGAATTTTCCAGCGTGCGGCGGAATCTCACCCGAAAATAGCAAGAAAGTCTGGAAGCTCCAGGGGGGGCGCGTTGGGGGCTGTTTCAGGATGGAGGGAGAGAAGAGGCCTCCACACACCCAACTTTGCTATCAGATAGAAGAATGTTGGAACTATAAAGAAAGAGAGGTCGTCACCTATTACATCAGGGAGGTTTTGGCTTCAAGGAGTATCTGGGAATGTTTGACCACAGTCAAATGAGGAACGGGTCATATTTCGTCAGCCAACTGCCTGGAATTACTGCAAATAACAGGACGGGACGCAGGCAATTCAGTTTTTGTTAGATTCACTAATTACAATGGGCCTAAGTGAGTCATGCCTGTTAATTTCAATGAGCCTACTCTGAGTATGAGTAATGCTGGATGCAACCCATTAGCGCTAATTCTCCCTGCCTCGTGCTTAGGCTCCTTCTCATGGTTTTTAGGGGAAGGAAGAAGATCTCAAAGGAAAGGATCACAGAATTGTAGAGTTGGAAGGGAACCCACGAGTCATCTAGCCCAACCCTCTGCCACGCAGGAATAAATCAGAATCGGGGTGGTAGCACAGTTCACCAGCCTATTTTCACAGCTCTTTTTTTCTATTTTCTCGGCGCCCCGGATGTCAGAACATAAGAAGCACCTGCAGGATCAGGCCAATTGCATCCTGTTCGCACAGGAGCCGCCAACCAGATGCCTGTACGAAACATGCAAGCGGGATTTGAACACAAGACCGCGGAATACCAGCAACCAGAAACATTTCTGCCTCCAATCATGCAGGCAGGGCCTAGCCATGACTGATAGCCCTCTCCTCCATGAATCTGCCCAATCCAGCCAACTAAGCTGGTGGTTATCATTGCCTGTTGTGGGAGGGAGTTCCACAGGTTAACTATACACTTTGTGAAGAAGTCCTTTCTTTTCTCTGCCCTGAATCTCCCAACTTTCAGCTTCCTTGCATGTCCAGGAATTCTAGTGTTGCGAGAGAAGGAGAAAAGCATTTCTGTCCACTTTCTCCAAGACATCCTGCTTCACCCGGAAGCACAAGGCACAAACAGACTGTCCCCTTACCCAGTGCCATAGCTACAGGGGAGGGCCAGCTGGGGGTTTTGCCCTGGGTGAAGAAAGGCGCCATTGAGGATCCCAGCCTATGTGTGTGCATAATAATAATAATAATAATAATAATAATAATAATAATTTATAATTTATACCCCGCCCATCTGGTTGGGTTTCCCCAGCCACTCTGGGCGGCTTCCAACAGAATATTAAAATACAATAAGCTATTAAACATTAAAAGCTTCCCTAAACAGGGCTGCCTTCAGATGTCTTCTAAAAGTCTGGTAGTTGTTGTTCTGTTTGACATCTGGTGGGAGGGTGTTCCACAGGGTGGGTGCCACCACTGAGAAGGCCCTCTGCCTGGTTCCCTATAACCTCACTTCTCGCAATGAGGGAACCGCCAGAAGGCCCTCGGCGCTGGATCTCAGTGTCCGGGCAGAATGATGACGGTGGAGATGCTCCTTCAGGTATATTGGGCCGAGGCCGTTTAGGGCTTTAAAGGTCAGCACCAAACGCACGTGGGGGTTGCCCCTGTCCTGACCCACCAGGTGCCATCCTATGCCATTGAGACACTACTAGGCTCCACCCCGGTCTCAGTTGGCCCCACCCCTAAGGTCTTAAGCTCCACCCACTGCATCTCAGGCGAACTGGCAACCCTACACCTGCTCTGTGTGGGTTGACCATATTGTACTTCCTATTATATCTGCACTGTATGATTCTCTCCTAGATCAAGCCCACCCCAGCAGGGTGCTCTGCATGTTGCCCCCTTTGAGAAAATCCCTTTGCAGGCTCCCCACTGCTGCTGCTCCAACTCCACAAGCCACCCGCCGGCAGTGCAATTCCATGCATGCTTACTCGGAAGTCGTCCCCACTGTTCTCAATGGGCCTACACCCTGTAAGTTTATGCTTGCAGCTTTGGTGTAATCACATAGCATCCAGTTCAACTATGGAACTCCTTGCCACAGGAGGCAGTGACGGCCAGTGAGATTGGGATGCTAGACTAGATACGCCATTGGCCTGATCCGGCCGTCTTGTCTTACGCTCTTATATGGATTTGATAATAACAGTGTTGCTCAGCAATTATTCCTCTGCCCCACATCTGGCCGGCTTATCCTAATTATAGTGTGGCTCAAGAAAAGCACCTCTGAGGTGCATCATGCCAGAACTGCTGGCTTGTGTCGAAACAACAATAACCACCTTTATAAAGCAATGTAGGTAACTTTAAACAGTGAGCCAAGTTACACGGCCAAAACAAGCAAAGGTGCAAATGTTTCCTCCCTCAGGAGGTTCCTCTTTTAGAAACCTACAAGATCTATGGTGTGAAAGAGGAAACAAGACACTTCTGGAATCAGTAATGCTCAGTTAATAAGCAAAACCTGCAGAGCCTCTCATATTCTTTGGACAAAGAAAGGAAACAAGCCCCCGTTTTGGGGATCCCTTGGCCAGCACCCCCCTAGCTAATGAACATTGCAAATTTGCGCCACTGCAGAATATATTTCCTTATTTACTGGGGAAAGTCCGTTTTTTAACTTTTTTATAGGTTTTATTGCAGTAAACCACTGTGATTTAAAAAATAAATAAATCATACAGAGGTATACAAATATTTTTATACACAATAAATAAAACTCTGCTCACAGAGTGTGTGCCTCTACACAACATGCACTAGTAATAATGTCTGCAGGGTTTCATTAATCAGTAAAGCAAAAATTTTTAGATCCGGTACCAAAGGGAAGACGGTGCTATTTCACCAGTTATATCGACTCAGAGGTGGTAGAGAGAGGGACTCCTTTGCAGGTCAAAAAGGACACACTCTGGTGCCACAACACACGACCTCGCCTCGCGGGAAATAACCCTGGGAAATGTCTCTTCCTTTCTTCCAATATCCACCTTTGAGGCTTCCCCAGTCCACCATACATATCCGGCTGTTGTCCCTAAGTAAACCAAGCTGCGCGCTTTTGCTTTGGAAAATGAAAGCAATTAAAACAGAACAAAATAAGGCTAAAAGTCTACAGCTGCCCTAAACGAATCGAAGCCAGTTCCTTGCTTGGTCTCTCCTTCTGACCAGGGTCTCTTGGCCAGAGAGATCTTTCCCAGCCTGTTCACTGGAGGCGATGAACAGCGACCCTGGGAACGACCTCCTACCGGCGGAGCGCACTCCACCACTAAAGAAAGCGCCTGCGCTATATCGGTTGAATTTCTGCCTGCCGCGCCGCAGCTGAAGCCCTGCGAGAGATGTACTTTTTGGGGGGGTGGGGGCGTGGACTCAGGAAGCAGGAGCCTTGCGCTACTCAAAAGAACCATCTGGCTTCGAGCCTCTTGGGACAGCTGCCCTTCCGGTCTCCTTCCCCTCCCCAGATTATACCTCGCTCTCAAAACTGATCAACCAGAGAGAGAGAAAGAGAGTCCTCCAAGGGCTGGCATTTTACCTGTCCCAGGTGAGGCTCTTAGATTCCAGAGAACCGAGCGACCGACCAGCCAGCCAGGAGTTTCCCAGGAATAAACTGCTCGCTTCGGTGCAGGCGCGCGTTAAACTTAGCCAGCTGACCTGAGGGCTCAGGTAACCTCATTGCACAACTTCCTGTTTACACTCACCTGGGGAATTTCCCTTCCTGTTTAGTTCTCTCTCTCTCTCTCTCTCTCTCTCTCTCTCTCTCTCTCTCTCTCTCTCTCTCCCGCCTGAGAGCAGCAAGAAATCTGCGCATGGGGGAACTAACTGGCCGCCCCGTTCCCACGAGACAGTGCGCAAGGGGCGGCCCCACTTGGCGTAGCCAAGCTCTCCTGTGCTCAGCTTCCCTGGAAAGCGCCCTGCGCCCTGCGGGGATGCGCGGCCCCCTGGGGTCAAAGGGGCTGGACTTTGGAGGAGGTTTCCCGGGATCGGGAGTGGGGGGAGGTCCCCGCCAGCTGATCTGCCGGGCGCGCCCGCCTCGTTCTCCAGCTGATGCGTTCAGACAAGCTGAACATTAAAAGACAGACGGCCTGACCCCCCCCCCGCCTCTCCCCACCTCCGCCTCCTGCTCCCTCTTTGCCCTGGGCGGATTGCGAAGCGTGACCTAGAAAGAGAGAGGAGGAAGGCAGATCCCGGGCGCAGCAAGGAATGGCCCCTCCGACATCCATCCCCCGGGATCTGGGGAGAGGCAGACGTCCGGAAAGCCGGGTGGGCTAATGGGAAGCGCGCGCGGCCTTTGCGCCCAGCGGAGCGAAAGGCAAGCTGGTTGCAGCGCCCAGCCAGGAACATAGCTGTCAACTTTTCCCTTTTCTTGCGAGGAATCCTATGCGGAATAAGGGAATTTCTCTTTAAAAAAGGGAAACGTTGACAGCTATGGCTAGGAAGGGGGCGCCTAGTCAGCTCAGCTGATGGGTACTATTATTATTATTACTATTTTATTTATTAAATTTGTCTGTCGCTTTCTCTTACCCAGGGCAACCCAAAATGACTTCCAACCAACCACAGAGACATTAAAATCAAGGAGGGTTAAAAAAAATGAAATAAAAAAATCACACACCAACTTCTAACAGGCTTTGGGTAGTTAATACGATTCTTATTAGAGTATATTGCTAGTATATTGATCTGAGTTATTTGCTGTATTTATAGCTTGACTTTCCTCCAAGGAGTTCAAGGTGGCATAAAAAGGTAAAGGGACCCCTGACTATTAGGTCCAGTCATGGCCGACTCTGGGGTTGCGGCGCTCATCTCGCTTTATTGGCCAAGGGAGTCGGCGTACAGCGTCCAGGTCATGTGGCTAGTGGTTATTATTTTGCTTATTTTATTTATATCCTGCCTGTTCCCTGGACTGGGGTTCAAGGCGGCTTGCACAGATTAAAAACTAGATGAATAATATGCAGTAAAAGATCATCATTAGGAAATAACTAAACAGTTACAGAATTAAGATAAAAAAAACCTGTTGAATTACAGATAATAAAGCCCTATTTGATTGCCAACTGCCCTGTGATCACTTGGGAAGACAGGAGAACTAATGCCAGAGTACCGGAAGAAGCAAAGATCACCAGCGTCAAAGCAATGGTTCTTCAACAACAACTTCATTGGACTGGTCATGTTGTGCGGATGCCTGATGATTCTCTTCCAAAGCAACTACTCTATTCCGGACTTAAAAATGAAAGCGTAATGCTGGTGGTCAACAAAAGAGGTTTAAAGAGTCTCTCAAGGCAAATCTTAAAAAATGTAGTATAAACACAGACAACTGGGAAACACTGGCTTGCGAGCGCTCCAGTTGGAGAACAGCCTCTACCAAAAGTGTCATGGGCTTTGAAGACACTCGAACTCAGGACACAAGGGAGACACATGCTAAGGGGAAGACGCGCTTGGGAAACCTTCACCGTGATCAACTCCCGCCTGGAAACCAATGTCCCCACTGTGGAAGGATGTGTGGATCCAGAATTGGCCTCTACAGTCACTTACGGACTCACTGTTAAGACTGTGTTCATGGAAGACAATCTTACTCAGCTACAGTCTTGATAGACCTACATTGGCTCCCAGTACGTTTCCGAGCACAATTCAAAGTGTTGGTGTTGACCTTTAAAGCCCTAAATGACCTCAGTCCAGTATACCTGAAGGAGCGTCTCAACCCCCATCGTTCTACCCGGGCACTGAGGTCCAGCGCCAAGAGCCTTCTGGCGATTCCCTCACTGCAAGAAGCAAAGCTACAGGGAACCAGGCAGAGGGCCTTCTCGGTGGTGGCACCCGCCCTGTGGAATGCCCTCCAATCAGATGTCAAAGAGATAAACAACTCTCTGACTTTTATAACACATCTGAAGGCAGCCCTGTTCAGGGAAGTTTTTAATGTATGACATCTTAATGTATTTTTAATCTTTGTTGGAAGCCGCCCAGAGTGGCTGGGGAGACCCAGCCAGATGGGTGGGGTACAAATAAATTATTATTATTATTGTTGTTGTTGTTGTTGTTGTTGTTGTTTTATTATTATTTTATTATTATGAGGGATCGCCAGAGAAGAAGAAGAAGATAATCTTTGGATGAAAGGCGGGATATAAATTTAATAAATAACAACACCAACTGCCTTCATAGAATCATAGAATTCTAGAGCTGGAAGGGACTCCAAAGGTCATCTAATTCAACCCCCCCTACAAGATAGGCTCAGACCCACAAGTCTGAGGCAGACCATTGGTCCATAGCTGTCACAGATTTGAAAATAAGGGACCAGCAGCCTCGAAAATAAGGGATCAGCAGCCAAAACAAGGGATTTTGCTATTCTAAAGCGTTACATACATTGGTAGGATTGACAGATGCTGTCAATCCGGCATGAGGCGGTTGTAGCACCGCGGCGGCCGCTGAAGCGCCTCCCTTCTGCATCCCTCCCCATCCCCTCCTCTTCCTCCTCCCTCAGGCCGCCTCCTCAACCGCTGCCACCTCCAGGCCCGCGGGCAGCGTGGGCAAGAGTCTCTCTCCCTCCCCCCTTGGGCGGGGAAGGGCCAATGGAACTCCTCGCGCCAGGACGACGGCGCCAGCGATCTCTCTCTCTCGTGGCGGAGGACCCCAAGCCGCTGCTTCCCTCCCGAGCCGGGCGAGCATGAAACCCGGGAAATTTAAGGGACATCATCAATAAGGGACAGCAGCGGGACACACCGCTGGGATAAGGGAGTTTCCCGCTAAATAAGGGACGGTTGACAGCTATGCATTGGTCCATCTTGTGCAGTATTACCCACACAGGCTGGCAGCAGCACTCCAGAGTTTCCGGCAAGGAGTCTGTCCTTTCTGGAGATGCTGTGAGGGATCGAACAGAACCTGAGAGTCTTTACGTGCAAAGCATGTGTGCCACAGTCCTTCCTCAACTTCTGGCCGGCAGTGAATGGTGCTTTTCAAGAGCGTTTCCCACCTGGCCTTGCTAGGAACATTTGTGTGTGTCATAGGGAGGGGGGGGGATGGTTTCAGCAAGGAGGGAAAAAGACATTTCATTTCTTGCAGAATCTTCGCAGTCCATGTGGAAGACCCGCGGCACACACACAAAACACACACACTGTTCCACATTCTTGCTACCCTGGCAGGCGTCCAGCCCTGGCACCAACTGCCAAGCCCACAACCCAGTGCTCAGTCCGACAAAGAGTCCTACAAATAAGTCCTTTGTTCGGGGAATCAAATACAACGCAGCCGTTATCGTGCCAAATGCTTGGAGGGGGCATCTTTGCTGCTGTGGGTGGGGGAAGTTAGGCCGAGGGAGAGGAAAACCTGTCTATATAACCCCTAAGATGGGAATACTCGGAGCAGCCCCAGCAAGAAGGGGGGAAATGAATCGGACCGCTCTGTTTTGCACTTTGAAATGTGTCCCAGGAGGGGTTCTGCTCATCTGACTGTCTCGCCAGAGTAGTGCATGCTCTAGTTATCTCCCGCTTGGACTACTGCAATGCGCTCTTCCTGGGGCTACCCTGCTGGTGAGGCTCGCTGACCTCCCGGAAAAGCAAAAATTTGACCTTTTCCTGTTAGCCAAAGATCATAAGATGACTCGGATGGTCACCAGATTCTGTGTACAGATCTGTAGGCGCAGACCATCCCCCAACCCAAACTAGTTCGTTAAGAAAATCCCCAAACTCGTTTCCATGGGTGACTCTGGGTTATCTCTCTGTGGCAGCTCATCTTAAAGTTTTAAGTGTCTATACGCTTATTGCATTTATAAATTTTAAACTTATTGTTGTACATTATTTTAAATGTTTGTTTTCCTTCTGGGATTGTACCCCCAAGTGTGTTTTATAAGCTGATTTCTGGCCGTAATAAATTATCTATCTATCTGGGGCTACCTTTGAAGGTGACCCGAAAACTGCAACTAATCCAGAATGCAGCAGCTAGACTGGTGGCTGGGAGCGGCCGCTGAGACCACATAACACCAGTCTTGAAAGACCTCCATTGGCTCCTAGTATGTTTCTGAGCACAATTCAAAGTATTGGTGTTGACCTTTAAAGCCCTAAATGGCCTTAGCCCATTATACCCGAAGGAGCGTCTCCACCCCCATCATTCTGCCCGGACACTGAGGTCCAGCACCGAGGGCCTTCTGGCAGTTCCCTCATTGCGAGGAGCAAAGCTACAGAGAACCAGGCATAGGGCCTTCTCGGTAGTGGCGCCCACCTTATGGAACATCTTCCCATCAGATGTCAAGGAAATAGACACCTGCCTTTTGGAAGACACCTGAAGGCAGCCCTGTTTAGGGAAGTTTTTAATGTTTGATGTTTTATTGTGTTTTTAATATTCTGTTGGGAGCTGCCCAGAGTGGGGGCTGGGGAAACGCAGTCAGGTGGGCAGGGCATAAAGAATTTATTGTTGTTGTTGTTGTTTAGTCGTGTCCGCCTCTTTCGTGACCCCCTGGACCAGAGCACGTCAGGCACTCCTGTCTTCCACTGCCTCCCGCAGTTTCATCAAACTCATGCTGGTAGCTTCGAGAACACTGTCCCACCATCTCGTCCTCCTTGTGCCCTCCATCTTTCCCAGCATCAGGGTCTTTTCCAGGGAGTCTTCTCTTCTCACGAGGTGGCCAAAGTCTTGGAGCCTCAGCTTCAGGAT